ATCTTCAATTTTAGTTTGTTCAATGTTTCCTCTTGAAGACACCAGATACGATTTTTTGGCTGGAATTTCACAAAACTGATGCAGAATTCTCATTGCAGCCTATCTGGAGGCATGCAATATCTATTTGTCCTAAAACTGATAGTGTTAACTTTTATCACTTGATGATGGTGTGTCTTCTGGGGAGATACTTTGAGACTATGTAAAATTCCATTTCTTATTATTCTCTCACTCTCTGGTTTTATCATCCATTGATTTTTCTTGCTTGAATTATTACAATGATCCTTGCCAAATGGTGGTTTTTGAATTCCATCATCCTTTCTACAATTATTAGTTGGTTTTCTGAAATACAGAAGAGCTTTCTCTTTTTTCTCTTTATGTATTTATATACATTGGTGTAGACTTATAGACTTCTATTTTATTCAATAGGTTATAGTCTGATAATATTGTTGTTTATTTTGAAACTCAAATTTTCCCATACTTGGGAACCCCTTCCAGCTGACTTTGTGTGCTTTTGACATTTCCCTGTATTTTTTGAAAGTTGTTTTTTCTTTCTTGTGCAGTTAGATGTTCAGGTTCATTTTCTTCTTTTTCTTCCTCAGTCCTTTAATCAGCCAGTTCTCTAACAAACCTTGGTTCATTTGAACAGGAAATGCTATTTAGAACCAAGATCTGAGTTGTAGGTATGCTCAGTACTACTAGGGTGTAGCTGCTTCCAGACCTTCTTAGTGGACAGAGCTAGGATATTTACATCTACATTTACACCTACATCTCAAACCGGGAATTTACACTGATGCTGCTTATTCCCGTCTAACACCACAGGGTTCATTCTGGCTTTTCCTCCTTCCATATTGGTCCCTCCTTTCTCTAGCAGTAGGAAACCTGTGTCTTGTTACCTTCAGGTTATTTACTTACACTCAATTCTCTTGAATGGCGCCCGTCTTCCTCTCCCACTGGGCTTCTGTTTTGCTTGGATGCCCTCCTCTCCTCCACTCCGGTGCCCTCCTTGTGTATGCTCTGGCTGCTACCAGCCTGCCTTTCATTCATATTCAAATTTCCCCAATTGTCCCCAAAACATGTTTATAGCTTTCTAACTTTTAAAATTCAGGACCCATTGAAGATACAATCAAGATTCATGTGTTGCATTTGGTTATTTTGTCTCTTTTAATGAAAAAGCTCACCCCCCCAACCCACATCACACACAGTTTTAAAAATAGCTTTGCTGAGATGTAATTCTCATTCCATACAATTCACCCATATAAAGTGTACAATTCAACAGTATTAAGTGCATTCAAAGCATTCTGAATTTTAGAACATTTTTATTACCTCAGAAAGAAACCCTGTACCCATTATCAATCACCCTGCTTCCCCAATTTCCATCAATCCCACCCCTCTAGTTCTAGGTAATCATTAATCTATTTTCTGTCTCTATAGATTTTCCCATTCTGGACATTTTGTATAAATGCAGTCATGTAGTATGTGGCCTTTTGTGATAGATTTCTTCCATTGAGTACAACGTTTTCAAAGTTTAATCGTGTTTTAGAATGTGTTCATATTTTTTTCCTTTTATTATCAAATGGCATTCCACTGTATGGATACACCACATTTTAATTATGCATTTATTGTATACCACGTTTTATTTATCCATTCATCAGTTGATGGGCATTTGAGTCATTTCAATTTTTTGGCAATTATAAACAATGCTGATAGTCATACATCTTTTAGTGTTGACTTCTGGAAGAAAACAAACCAGTTTTCTTACACAATGATCCCACATACAAATCTATCTGTTTATTTCCATGTGGTATCAGTTAATTTGCTCCTCCCTTCCCTGAATTTTTCATAAAGTAGAAGTTAGATTTAAAAACATGGTGAGATTCATGTCCAAACTAAGAATTTATTTCACTAGAGCTGTTAGATCTTTCACTAGAGATGCTAGTTTTTGATCATTTGTCTAAGACAATAACTGCTAGGTAGCTCCATTGCCTCATCTCTCATCTTTAAATCATCTCACATCATTTGTCAGATGACACTACAACACCTTTAAACATTCTGTTTGTGCTAAAATTTGAACCTGAATTAGTAATTTCATTAGAGGTTTCAAAATAGTGATTTCCCAATTCTATCATTCTACATGTATCAGCTGACATTCTGTTATAAGGAAGAACTTTCACTCATCAACTGGGCATAAACTACAGTTTCTCCTATGTAGGCAAGATAAATGCTTATTCCGATCCTTTAATTACTGGTTTTCAGAGGATTGGGTTGTGTAATCATTGCCAAGCTGGGCTTTGAGGGATGATTAATTCTCAGATGGACAAGGGATAAGGGATAAGGTATTCACTAGAGTCGAACAATGGCTAACAGAATGATTGTGGGTGAAAGGAGAGAGGGAAGGTTGGTAGGACTCCACTCAGTCATAGTCAAGGCAACCAGACTCCTTCTGGATCCCGTGATATCCCATGGTGGGGCTCTTCATTGCTCAAATGTGGTTCTCTCACTAGTCCGGAGTCTGTGCAGGGCTGGAGCAGGGGTGGCAGGCACTAGCGTTGGTGGAGAAGGGCGGTGATAGCATTGACCACGTGGCATAAGGAAGTTCAGAAAGTGTCCAGTGTAAGGATCCTAATTATTTAGCCTGCCCCTTCTCATCTTGTCTCTTCCCTAGCACCTTTTCTTAATTGGCACCCAATGCTTGTGCTTCCATGTGTGGATCTCCAAGGAATTCATGCAGCAGACCTTCCTCAGTGGGAGTGGGAGAGGTGGGACAGCAAAGGAAAACTTCACATGTGGATTTCATTTAATTAAACTACCTGAATAAATGATGAAGGTAAAACATTTACTGAGCGTTGGCTATGTGCCAGGCAATGTTAAAAGCACTGCATGTGTTTTAATGCATTGCATCCTCCCAGTGATGCAATCAGGGAGGTACTTTTACTCCTCTCATTCTGTATTGAGGCCTGAGGTAAAGATGAAGGAAACTGACAAGGTCTCACAGCTCATGGTCTCATGCACTCCCCTATTCTGCCTTTCTAGATGGGGTGCATGAAGAAGAGCTTCTGCTCGGAGGAGTTAATTTTGTATTCTTCTGCTCCTAGCTTGTATTTCCCTGGATAATTAGATAATTCAGCTCACTGACTGTGACCCTAGAAGGTGGGACTTGTAGGTGCAAAGGGGTCTAAATGTTTGGGTCCCCTACTAAATTCATATTTTAAAATCTTAACCCCAAGCTGATGGTATTCGAAGGTAGGACCTGTGAGAGGTGATTAGGTCATGGGGGTGAAGCTTTCATGAGTAAGATTAGTGCCCTTATAAAGAGGTCCTAGAGAGACCCACCCCTCCTTCCACCAAATGAGGACACAGCTAGAAGGCACCATCTATGAATCAGGAAATGAGCCCTCACCAGACACTGAAGCTGCCAGCACTTTGAGCTTGGACTTCCCAGCCTCTCGAACTGTGAGAAATAAATCTGTTGCTTATAAGCTACCCAATTTATGGTGTTCTATTAGAGCTGCCTGAACAGGCTAAGACAAAAGTGATGTGGGATGGAGCTTACACAGGGGAGAAACACCCAATGGACACAAAAAAGACTGTGCCCAGGAGCCCTCCACCTGATGGTCCACAAACAAGATGTTTCCTCCACACAACCTGCTCTCTGCCTTATCTCCACAGGAGCACTAATTATCTGGCATGCTGACGAACCTAGAGAATTAACATGGAATGTGGATAATGATGATTTCAGTTGATGGATTTAAAGCTACCTTCCTGGAAAAATATAATTCAGTCTGTTTTCTAAGAAAGCGTCTTGGAATCCAATAGCACATATTGGCTAAAGTCTCAATTGCGAAGGATCAATCACATATCTACCATGTGCAGTTAATTCAACCTGTTGTCCACTTATTCATTCATTTTGTCTGTTTTGTCCAGGATAGATATGGCATGTCCCCTGCCTGGAGTGGAATCTCATATTTTTAGAAGGTTACAGATAATTTTAATTAGAACCCTCATGAAAGAATTGTCTGTAATGTGCATGGCAGGGGAAGCTAGTGCAGAGGGAGAGAGAGTGATTCATTCCTTGTGGGGGGATTGGAATGACTTCATGGGAAAGGTAGCATTTTAGCTCTGCCTTCAAAAGGAGTAGAATTTAACAAGTGAAAAGAACAGGTGAGGATCTTCCAGGGCCAGGGAAATGTGCCAATGAAGTTACAAGACAGGTGAGTCCAGAGTATGCAAAACATGGGCTTGGGAGACAATGCTGCATGGGCAGGCCAGAAACAGGCTGTGAGGAACCCCACTATGTTTGAGTATTGTCTGTGCTGATAAAAAAAAAGCCAAACTCTCCAAAATATTTCAAGATGTTTATTCTGAGCTAAATATGAGTAGCCACGGCGCATGACACAGTCTCAGGAGGTCTCGTGAACATGTATCCAAGGTGGTTGAGTTACTGCCTGGTTTTATACATTTTAGGGAGACAGAAGTTACAGGAAAAGACATAAATCAATACATGTAAGTAGCACATTGGTCCAGCCCAGAAAGATGGGACATCTCAAAGGGAAGGGAGGCTTCCAAGTCATGATTGGATTCAAAGATTTTCTGATTGGCAATCGGTTGAAAGAATTAAGCTTTGCCTCAAGAGTTGAAGTCAGCATAAGGAAATCATTGAATTAAGTAAGTAGGGTTGTGAAAGCCAAGGTTCTTGTTATGTAGATGAAGCCTCTAGGTAAGAGGCTTCAGAGAGAATGGATAGTAAATGTCTCTTAAAAGGTGTCAGACTCTTAATAAAATCTCTCCTGGATCAAGAAGATACCTGGAAGGGGAAAGGGATTCTCTACAGAATACAAATTTTCCCCATAAGAGATGGCTTTGCAGGGCCATTTCAAAATATGTCAAAGAAAATGTATTTTGGGATAAAATACTGAGATTTCCTTCAGGGCCTGCTGTCATGTGATGTTATATCAGAGTCAGGTTGGAGTTCAGTATGTTATTGCTACAAAGAGTCTGCTTTGTCAGTCTTATAATCTTTGTTTTATGTTAATGCTGGTCAGCTGTGCCTAGACTCCAAAGGAGGAGGGTATAACTAGGTATGTCTGACTCCTGCCCTATGATGACAGCCTGAACTAGTTTTTCAGGTTTCTCCGGGATCCTCTTGGCCAAGAGGGCTCCATTCAGTTGGTGGGGTGCTTATAATTGTTTTTTGATTGACATAGGCAATAGGGAGCTATTGAGCATTCTCAATGACATGGCCACATTTTTTTTTTTAGAATAATGATTGGCAACATCCTGGTTGAGGATGATTTAGATATGAAAGATATTACAAAGGAATGGCTTCTGTTTGGTTGTTTTACTATTAACACTACAGTTATTATTTAAAAAACAAGTCCTGCCTTTGGTGGATATTTCACCTTTTAATCATACATTTGTGGAGTGCAAGTATTTGATGTGAATTACTGACTGTAGACTATCAACAATATTTCAGGTGGTGGAAAACTTCATCATCCTGTGCTGAAAGAATTAATCAAGGTGTAAAGGGAAGATTTAAGTCTATGATTCTCAACCTTGGTTGCATATTGGAGTCACCTGGGGAGCTGTAAAAAAATACAGATGTCTGGGTCTCACCATAGAGAAGTCTGGGTTGATGTCCAGGCAGCAGGACTTTAAAAGCTTACCAGGTTAATTTTAATGCCCAGCCAAGATTGAAAACTACTAGCAAGAGAACCAGCAGTCTGGAGAGTTGGAAGCCAAACCTAGTGCTGAATTTGCTGACTGGTCTTCTCCTATAGAGATGCTAGTCCTAGGCTTGGTCCTCAGCCACTTTCTATCTCTAGCCCAACTTCTGTGCCATCTTCCTGCTTTCAGTGATTCAGCTGCCAGTAGGCAGGCCTGTTTGGGACTGCTTGGTCACAGTTGGAAGACAAGTGCAATTTTTGGTGTAGGCTGACCAGGCCATCGCTGGCTGGGCTTTGCTGGCCAGAACTCAGAGAAGTTGTGAGGTTCTGTTTTGGAATTATTAATTAAGGGCTTTCCAACTCATCTAGCAGAAAGAGCCTCCACTTCTACCAAAGCATTCCATTTGGCTTTGGAGTTCTGACAAGCCTGCCTGTGGGGTCTCAAATGTCACTCTACAGTCACCAGTCTTTCAGTAATGGCCTGTGGTTGGCTATAGCTGTTCAGGAAATTAAAATTCCAAAGTTCAAGGCATTACTATTATTTTATTTTTGGCAGAGTGAGGGGTACGAACTGAAGGAGCCCCAGGAGGTACTGCCTAGGTATGGGTGGGTGAGGAGGGGGGCGGTCCCAGGATTCAGAGTAAGGAGTGGAGTTCGACTGTGAGCTCCCTCTCCTAGAAATGACTGGCTGTATGTCTATCTAGGAGAGCGGTCATAAGCAGAGGGTTTCCTTCCTGAGGTCAGACTTGATTAACCTTGGGATTGGCACAAATAGAAACTTAGCTTCTGGAGTATGTGGTGCAGACTGGCATTGAGAAAGTAATCATATAAATTGTTAACCTAGAACTTCTCCGTGTCTTATCACTGGACTCAGGGCAAAGTCTCCCTTCTAGGTTTCTCTGGCACTTGTGGCCTGGGCTGTGCTGGTGTTTCCAGCCTCATCTCTACCATGGCTGCACTCCCATTCCTCTTCCTCCCATTCTCTCCTTCCCCCATTGTGCATTTACTCTGTGCCAGGGATTTGACCTGGATTATTTCTCTTGGAGATAGGCATGGATTATCTAACTTGCCCGGATGGACTTGGTTAAAGGTGACTGTCCAGCTCTGGTGGGAGGACAATGTCTCCCCTTTCTGGGGACTTTGGGGCATTTGACAAGACCATTAGTACTTAAAGACGGATGTTGTGCCTGAGGGTGGTAGGGCGGTCACAGAGAGAAGTGACTCTTTACATTTCAAATGCAATTAAATTATTGCTCACCCCCAAACCTCTGATGCCAACTACAGCATGACTCTAGGAAGCTTCACAGCATTTCCTGTTGGGGCATTTCAGACTTCAAGGGGGCATTTCCCATTACAGATATAAAGAAGGGATGCTGACTTCTGAATTAGAGAATCAGTACCTGGAAGCTGACTGTAGCACTCATCAGCTATGTGAACTTGGTAAGTATCTTTCAGAATTAGTTTCCTTCTCTCAGGGTTTTTCAGTTTTGGAACTAGTGACATTTTGGGCCACAGGATTCTTTGTGATGGGCACTGGACAAACTGTAGTGTCCTGTGCATGACACTATGCTTAGCAGTATCCCTGGCCAGAAGTGCTCCTCCCACACCCCTCACCCTGCAAAGCTCCAGACATTACCCAGTATCTCCTGAGGGGCAAAACTGTCCCCTGTTGAGAACCACTGGTTTACCTGGAAATTAGGATGTATAACCCCTATGTCACTTAGCTGACCTTAGATGTAAATAAGTGTGATTTGCAGGAGAAATCGCTTTTCACACAGCAGGTGGCCCTTAGCAGACACAGTGAGGCCCAGGGAAGCTGTGGGTTCCCTTGGCTGCCTCACAAGAATGCTTCACCTGCTGGTGCCAGGCCCTACAAAGGCTCCTCAAGCCAGGTGAGTGCGAGGCTCGTTGGCATCACTGATGCCCTGGCCTGTGGCCATGAGTGTGAATGTCAGCCTCCTGGGCTTCTGTCCCACAACTCAGAGCCAGGGCTGCTCTTGGGAACATGCACTGATGTTCTCTAGCTAGCTCAACAGAGACAGGCTGCCCCTGGGCCAATTCCAGAGGATGAGGGATTCCCAGGGGTGTGGCTTCTCCCAGCACCTTTTTTAGGTGAGGGGAAAGAGTCATTTACCCAGCATTGCCATGGCTCTGCCCCCCACCCACCTAGGGACACTATCCCCTTCCCCTACACCACAAAAATAAAAGTAGAAAATAACCAAGAAAAAGAAAGACCCTTGAAGCCAAAGAAATCTGAGTTCATATCCTTTCATTGCTTCTAAAATGGGAAATCTATCATATGTATTTATATCATATCATACATCTATTTATCAATCCCAGAGTTAGTATGAACATTTAATTAAATCAGATAATTGATGCCCAGCACTGAGTCTGGCTAACAGTAAGTAATAAATACTTGGCAGTTCTCTTCTGCTTCTACATATATCATCTCAGTTCCCTCTCACAATGAAAGAGGGAGATGTGGTATTAAATTGGGTGGACCCCAAACAGGCCGTGATGGGTTAGACTGGGGCCTAGGTCCCTCTGTGGGGGAGACTGTGCTTGTAGGGAACCCTACCCCTACTGTCTACAGAGGTCAGCTGAGCACAGACTTCCAGGATGGGTGGCTGAAGTATGACCTGATTTTACCTAAGCCTTCACAGCTTATAAAGAGCACTTACGCACACACTTGTTACCTGACAACAGCCCACAATGGTAGGGAAGGCAGGTGTTAGTCCTACTTTGCAGGCTAGAGAGAGGTGAAGCCAGCTGGACTTCGTGGGTCATGTGGGGACTTGGAGAACTTTTCTGTCTTACAAGAGATTGTAAAATGCACCAATCAGTGCTCTGTAAAACACACCAATCAGTGCTCTGTAAAATGCACCAATCAGTGCTCTGTAAAACGCACCAATCAGCAGGATCCTAAAAGTAGCCAACCGCAGGGGAGAATTGAAAAAAGGGCACTCTGATAGGACAAAAACGGAACATGGGTGGGGACAAATAAGGGAATAAAAGTTGGCCTCCACCCCCACCCAATTCCACCCCCAGCCAGCAGCCACAACCCGCTCAGGTTCCCCCTCCATGCTGTGGAAGCTTTGTTGTTTCACTCTTCGCAATAAATCTTGCTGCTGTTCCCTCTTTGGGTCCGTGCAAACTTTACGAGCTTTAACACTCACCACAAAGGTCCGCGACTTCATTCTTGAAGTCAGCAACACCATGAATCTACCCGCAGGAACTAACTCCGGACACACTAGGAGATTCAAACTCAAGGAAGTTAAAGCAGTTTTCTGAAGCCATACTCTGGTAAGTGGCAAAGTTGAGATCCCAGCTGAGATGAGCCAGGCTTTACATTCTTATGTCCCTTGCAGAGGCATTATGATCCTCCTGCAAAAAGCCCAGAGATCAAACTTCTAGGGCATAAGAGATGGCACCTCAAATTCCAGGACAGCACCTACGGTTGTCACAAAAGTTTCCAAAATGCCGCTCCCCCCCCCCCCCCACTGCCTCACCAAGAGAGACCAGAATTCCTAAATGTCCCTCAGAGAAGAATGGAGAAGCTAGACCCAAGGTAATTCGTCAATGGGCCAACACTCAGGCTTTCACACGCTCGGATCCAGACTCTCAGACCGTTCAGGGGCTCTTGCTTACCTGGTGCCATTTGGGTAGGGGACCTCCGAAATGGCCCCTGCCCAGCAGACCCTGGGTCTCAGTGGGATTAAAGGAAAGGCATGCAGAACCGCCGACTGAAATATTTCTCCTTTGCTTTTGTGGTAGAGTGTGAAATATCTCTAGAGCATTTGTGGATAGGGTTTAGGCTCAGGAAGATGCCCCTGCTGTCAGGAGACCACAAACTGGCTTCTCCCCAGGGATGGTGGGGTGACCAGGCAGGGCTGAGTCAGGGCTGGCTTTGCTCAGGTCCTGGTGGGTGGCAGCTCAGCCCTGGAGCCTCTGTGGCTGAGCTGGGGGCAGAAACCTTTATGTGGCTATTTATAGGTCCTGATGGCCAAAGGAAGGGAGCTATCCTGATGCCAAAATGACTCTTCTGGGGCCTAGGCAGTGGAGCTTGGGGGGCTGGCAGTTTATTTAGGGAATACAATGGCCGACTCAGAATGGTTATTTGTAATCAATTCCTCCCCAGCACCTCTCTCTCTTCCATCCCCATTATTCCCATGACCAAATGACCCTGTCTGAAACACAGTCCTCAATATGTCACTACTTTGCCCCAGTCCATCAGTGGCTGTCTATTGTCTTGCCAAACTGCATTTTGAGGCTCAGTTTCCAATTCTTCATGGTGCAAAGCCTAACTCTGCCGTAATATACAATTCACTCATTCCTGAAGGCTTTCTTTCCCCATTGACCCCTCAGCTTTGTTCCTACTATTCATTCTCAGAATTCATCCTTCTTCTCTTCCTTAGCATTGGTTTGTTGAAAGTCTGCTCATCTGCTAATGTCCAGCTCCAATGCAGCTTTTTCCACGAAGGCTTTCTCCATCTCTCCCTACTCCCTTTACTCATTCCTTAAATACTTGTTCTCCCTCCATTGAATAAATACCTTGGTGCTTTTTACCTCTCTAAGGGCAGGCATCAGAGTGGCCTTATAATACTTTCATTTATAAGCTTCCCTTCCCCTGACACCCATCTTTTCATTTCAAAAAGCATTTGTTGAGCATCTGCTCTCTTCTAGGCAGTTGCTAAGGGATGCACTAGTTATGCAAACATGGGTAATCCAGGGCCCAGCCCTTGGGGAGCTTGCTGCCCAGATGGGAAAACAAGCATCCTAACAGATTCATTATGGTGTGAGAAGCATCATGGAAGGGAATCCCAGAGTTTGCAAGAGGAAATGCTTTACTCTGTTTGAGGAAAGGTGTGGGCATTGAAGCTTATGAGACCAAAGAGATCTTTGTCTTTCAACAGGGACTATATCTTTCTTGTCTCTTTCCCTCTGTGTCCAGACAACACCTGGGACATAGATGATGTCCAGTAAATGTGTGCTGCGTTGGGACTAGTTAGATATAGGTTCTCTGTTCTCCAGCCTCCTTTGAGCCCTTGCCCATATCCCCGTTTCTACTGATTCAAAATCATAACTGTTGCATCTCCTCGTAAGCCATGAGCCCCTGGAAAGCAGTGGTTGAATCTAATTCACTGCATTATCTTTGGAGCCTGCACAGGGTAAGGGTTTAAGGAGCTTTGCTGGGTGAAGTCGTGGGTGACAGTGACTGCCCCTAATGATATCACCTTGAAAAGTGTGTGAGAGGCTCAGTCAGAGCATTCTGTCTTTCTTCATGTCTCTAGTTTAGTCCTTTCGTGATGTGCAAATGAATATTAACTCCTCAACTCCACAGACAGCCCAAAGAGTGCAGAGCTAACCTTAAAATAAATGACAAGGTGCAAGTTTCCATGGTGGCTTTGTTGTCCTCTGATTGGATTCACCTGGCTGTTGGATGACAGTACTTCCTACTCCACTGGGCCAGCTCCTTGCTGGTTCAGGTGCATCCCTCCCAGCTCAGTGGACCTCCTTGAGAGGCAGGACATGGTATGTCTGGAGGGTGACAATAGCTTTAGACTTTGTTCTGTACTTGGTTCATTGATAATAGGATGCCCCATCTTCTAGGTTTTAAGGAAGCTTTGATCTGAGGATTCAAGAAGATTGGAAGCAGCTACTAGTATGCCCTGTTTTAGGTATTCCATTATAAAAGGCTTCTGTGGACAAAGAAGCTTGAGAAAGATCTTGGTGAAATAGAACTACTTAGATTTCTTCAGTACAGGACTTCTCATCACCTTTGCTGTGGTTGACAGGTACTGTGAGTCTCCACGAGGGGGTACTATATGCAGTGATGTTCATTCTTAGCCAAGAACATTTTAACACTCTAGAGAATAGTTTTGGGAATTAGTTCCAGGTATAACATGGGACATGGCCCTTTAGGAGAGTGGAAGAGGCTCCTACCCTGTGATATATGTGTGTATATCAAATGCAGTCATGTCCTACCAGGATTCCCAAAGTTGATTCCGATAGACAATAATTTCCCAGAATTCTTACATTTTACAGGAAAAGAAATCGTATTCCAAGACTCATTATGCTGTACAAGTGGAGAGCTTGGCCTCGGAGTGAAGCAGAGCGAGGCTTGGATGCTGGTTCCACCATGTAAAGTCATATCTGCCAGTTTCCACACCTGTACATGGGGTAATCCTAGTCCCCACCTCATTAGGCTGTTGTGAGGATTAAATGGGATAAAGGACATCACATGGTAAGCATAGTGCTTGACGTGTAATATGTGTTTAATAGATGTAAGCTATTAAAAACTAGATTCGTAAGTTTTCTATTCTCCTAGTTCACGAGCCCGTGCACTCAGAGTAGAGGGTCAGGCATTGCTCTGCACTCTGATCTTTAGAGTGTTCTCTTCCTTCGGTGTATTCATGTTCACTCTGCTGGGGAGCCCGGGA